CATCACTGCTCTTTTCTGGCTTTGATATACCATGTGTTACCTTACAGGTGGAGGCAGTGGTAAAGCAATAGGTATCTTTAAACTAGTGGCAAATGGACTTCCATGGATCATTGGCATTGGCACTGTAATTGGCAGTGTAACAGCATTGACAACACGTCCTTAGTTTCAGTCTATCACTTCCACTGTTTGGTATACTTTGAGACCATGCAAGTCCAAAGACTTATCTAAATTCTTAAGTACCTTATTTTGTATCTCAAACACAAAAGGACTATGTGGTAATTTAAAATCAGCTTTGGGAAAAAAAGCATACTCTGAGTCAAGAACTAGTAATAATAATTTTCCACTATTTGTCCAAATCCATATATAGCAACAGGTTGTTTTTCTTCTACTTACTATTCTCTATTCGCTTTACAGGAAAATCAGTTCTTGTTGAACCTTTCTACAACTGAATTGCTATAATGGTCAATTACGAGAAGCAAAACCCCATAGAAGTTATGCTAAATAAAATCAATAACATGCTGTGAATTTTTCCCTCATATTGTGAGTTGACAGCAAAAATTAAGAATTTCTTAGGAAATAAAATCTAAACAGAAAATAACTAAGTTAAAGACAAAGTTAACATAAGTCCCCTGAAATGGCTGAGCAGCGTGGAGAGGCCCCATAAGACCTTTTACAGTTTGATGATACAGATATATAAGCATTATATGATAGACAGAGAAGATAGTGAACATTTTTTTTAGTTTGTGTTACACTGTAATCTCCCTTTTGTGAGGCACAATTTACCAGAGATACAATAACCATCTACAAACAAAGCATGAAGAATCAATAATGACATGATTTTATTTATGACATTATTTATATTAGTTGTGAGATAATTATATGTAGTTTAGCTAAGAGAAAATAATACATGATGAAAAACATCTAGAGTTGTGTTTCTACCTGCCTAATAGTAATAACTATATAGTAATAATAAGTTTACACAGTAAATTTTGAGAGTATCAGTTTCTACTGTAGAAACTTACACTTATTTTAGAAGGAAAAAAAATACTGAAAATCTACCTACTTGTGGAGTGCTGGTTGCTCTGGTGGGGAACTATTTTGTCCTGCTTATCTTGTTCTTTTGCAAAGAACCCAGATGTACCAAGAGGTAATTGTAGAGGCAGAGAAAGGTGGAGAGGTGACTTAATGTTTTTCAGGCTGTTCTGGAAGTGGGTGTTGCAGGGTTCATAGGCAAAGCCACAGAGTTCTGGAATCTTTCTCATACAATTCTATTAATAGATGTCAACATAAACAGGAGACTTTCAGTGGAAAATAATTTATGTTGTGGAACAGAAGCAGGCACAGGAAGAAGGGAGTGTGGTTATAAAGAAGTGAGGCCTTAGTTTCACTTGGTTATTCTGAAAATTACATCAAAGACAAAATTATTTTCTTGATATGGAAGCATTAAAGATATTAAGGTTTAACGTCTCCAGGAAATGATAATTTAATAAATTATCTGAAAAAGAGAAAACCACATGATGTGGTTCTTGTAATTGTCATTGTACCCATATGAAATAATTATAAACTCAATGAGAAAATGGTATTGGCAATAGAGACATAGTACATTTGGTATCTATGGAAATTAGTCTTTGGGAGCTTTCAATGAGTTTTGTGTTAATTATGTTCACAAAATTATTTTTGCCAGCTGAAAGAAAGGTATAAATAGCTGCTTGGAATCTCTTCAGCAGGGAAGTTCTTCTTTAACCTACAAAATCTACTATTAATACGAGTGTAGGCTCCTTGCTTACTGTACATCACACTGACGTCTGTGAGAAAGACTATATAGGTTGTGTTTGCATATCATTATCATGTTGTTACAGGCATGATGACAATGGGGCATAACTCAATCAGAGCTTGTAGTTTATTGGACCAAGCTGTAGCTGTAAAAACTTTGCAAGATTTTAACCACACTGTGATAGAAATGGAGTTTTCTGAGTTTACTTAGATACGTGCCAATTAAACCACTTCAAGAAGAGGTAGCTGATACCCTCTGCAGTGTTAGAAGGGAGTTGACAACTACTTTATTTTGCAAGGGGGACTGAGAGAGACAGGTTACTTTCAGCCTGCATTTGTGGATGGTTTAGATAGTGATGGATGAAGAGGAGTTCTCATGTTCCATAATCAACAGAAATATGCTAATGTTGGGGTGGATGTATCTTTGTGTTTTAAATGAATGCTTTTTGCCTGGAAGCAAGGTAATTGATCTGTAGGCTTTCTGCTGCGGTTTGCAAGCTATAATTTTTTTATGTTGCATGTGATGTTTTTGATGCTGTCTATGATGTCTAGAAAAATGATGTTGTACAGAAATATTTCAAAAGCAATTTGAAGGGACTCTGATAATTTTTGAATTTATGATAGAAGCAAGGGTGAAGTCCAGGTTTCTATGGCAGACAGGAAAGACATTGCTTACAGACTTGAGAATACGAGTAATTAAAATCTTAGAAGTAGTTTTTGAACACATTTTGCTTGTTTATTTATTACCACACTGGTAATTGGTGCCTCTACCTGTGTGCATCATTAGGAGAAAATGTTAGCTTTGGAAACAAAGTTGTCTGGGTGAACATCAAATAAAGGAGTCTGATGATGCATTTCAGCTGAAATCCTGGATGTTTATCTTGCTTTTTTCTTAAAAGTAAAAACAGGCTTTTGTGCTGCATAATGTTGAAATGTGGTCTAATGATGTGTTAGTTAGGCCCAGGGGAGTGTTATCTGGGAAGTGCTTCATGCTGTCTAGTTTATGCAGGAACTTTTTGTGTGAGTAATGTTTGAGTGGGGTGTATGGGAGCAAGAATTATGGTTTTATGATAGTTTTGAAGAGTACTGGTAGCTTCTCAGTGAATGTGTTATAAATTTAGAAAGACACCTGATCTGCAGATATTGAGGAGACTGTAAATATATTCCTGAAGTAGTAAATTGGGCAATGCATTGTGGGTTTTTTGCCTTGAATTAGTGGTTTGATTATATTTTGAACCTGAATACGAAGGAGGTAGCAGAGTCTTTTTGTGTTTCCTGTAATAGGTAGAGAACCAAGCCAATCCTGATGCTGACGCTTGCTATCTTGCCTAAGGTAACTGTAGGTTGTCCTTTGCTGATTTAATTGTAATTTGGTGGTTGAATCTTAAGGAGTGCAGAGTTCTTTCAAATCAGCATGTTGTGATGGTGGTGCTTGTTACAGCTTATATAGCTGCTGATTTTTTCCCTAAAGTAATCGCAGGACCATGGAATTATTTAGATTGGAAAAGACCCTTAAGATCATTGAGTCCAACCATTAACCCAGCACTGCCAGGTCCGCCACTAAAGCACGTCCTCAAATGCCACATCTGTATGTCCTTTAAATAACTCCAGGGATGGTGACTCAACCACTTCCCATAGTGTTCAAAGGCCAGAGGAGAAGTGTGACTGGCATTGTTCACTACAGGATGTCCAGTAGGAAGGGGTTTTTCTGTATTGCTAACTCTCCTTGGAGTGCATGTAGGGAGGTGTCCTATTGCATGTTGACACTGGTAATGAAAATTTTTTTGTTAAGGATTTGGCTAAAACTTCCTCTAATTTTCCATATATTTATGTAGTATACATACTAAGACAATTATTATAGGGAAACCTCTTTCATTCCATGGATCTCTGGTGCAGGTCTATGAAGATAATGAAGATGTGAACATAATCAATAGAACCACCTAAAAATAGACTTTAATGTGATAGGTCTAACTTCTGTGTGGAATGTGCCAGTAAACAATGAAAAGGATCAGATGTTTGAGTTTGCAAAAACACTTGAGATCTTTTGTATGAAGATTATCCTTCAGTGTTGGTTTTGTGTAGCATGATTGGCTCCTACTCTGACTATAAGGACTAAAGTGATATTGCAATGGGAATAATAATAAAAGCAAAGAGGAGGTGATGCTTCTGACCATAATCAATTCCAAGGCTGTACTTCTCCTATGGGGCAGTGGAAAAACCAGAGAGAATAGTGGTCATCACAGTGTTTTACAGTTAATGCACAACCTTACTTGTATCATTTAGCTGGACACTGGTGTACTAAAACTCTGGAGAGACGAATGTATCCCAGTAATGTTGTTTTTTGTTTCTTTGTGCCACTGAACTGAAATACTGTATTCCTTGGTATGGTTCAACATTTTTGCTTGTATAAATTGGCATAGTTTCTTTGAAATTCAGAGGTGTTCTCTCCATTGGATAGATCACTAATTTTCCTCAGAAGAGGAGAAAAAAGAACCTGTGTCACTCAGAGGCAAAATGAGGTGAACCATGTACTCAGATATGCCCAGAATTTCAGTGGCCCTGAAAGAAGTGGCTGTGTTAGCTTTGTTAGCCTCAGTCTTTCCTGGGAATTGGAACTGTGCATATGTGGTGAGTTTGTTTGCTTCCATTCCAGTTACACAGTTGCATCTTGCAGACTTTTTGTGCTTAATGTCCTGTTGGCTGGCCCTGCAGATTTATCTATTCCGTTAAAGATTCTTCCAGTTGTATCCATTAGTTCAGCTAGTATTCCCTTTCTCGTGCTGTTGCATTGTGCTTTGACATCCTACTCCTGAGGAAGTTTTTGAAGAGAACCTTTGGAGAGTTTTACAAGTATGTTCTACAAGAGTAATGTGGGAAATAACTGTTAGTCTGTACTATGAACTACTGCTCTACTGTTAATGAAATAAGCATGTCAATTTAAACAAATTCTCTGATGTTTCCCAGTGCTAATATCATCCCATACTGTGGCAACACGTGGTGGTTTTCAATTTTTTTTCTTCTGAGAACAAGTGGTTTAAAGTACTTCAAGATTATTTTTAATTTCATTTTGGGTAGTTCTTAAATGTTGAAATACTGTAAGTTGAACTCACAGCAAGCTTCAAACCTCACTCATTCATGTGTACATTGCAGAATTTTTCCCCCAGCTCCCAATTTGCATTCTCATTGTAATATTCTTTGGATTTTCTAGTATGTCTGCACTGAAATGCCAAAAACTTAATTGCATGTATCTGCTTATCCACTGATCACCGTCGGATGATCAGATGTACATCTGGAACAGAACATTCTCTTTTATGGTTCTAATTATGTCTGTGCCTAGATTCTTCAGAAAGATAGAAATTCTCCTGTTGTATTTGGAATCTTGGATTGCCAGCATGTGAATTTTAAGGTGCTGGGAGACTCCCAGTGAGTACAGCAAAGACTGAGTGTCTCTGTGGATTTGAGCTCCAGAATATTGAGTGGATGTAGTTATTTAGTTGGAAAGATTTTTTGTTTCTTAAGGTGATATTATTAAAAATTGCATGTTAACACACATTCAGAGACAGTTTGCTTGGATATGGAATGAGAGGAAGAGGTTATGTCTTCCAGTGCTCTTGCTAATGACTCAGCATAGAACTTAGCTTGGATATATAAGGAACTGATTTTAGGATTCGAGAAAACTGTTGCCATATGACAAACTATATGCAATGTCTGAAAAGTGCGATAAGTGGACTGTCTTTAAGAATAAGCAGGCTGTAGTCCTTGTTTGCTTCAATTCCTACAACTTCTGCCATCTACTACTACTATCTTTAATAGAAGTGGGAAAGAAGCATAAGAAAAGGTACATATCAAGTAGCAAGAAGGTGCCTGAGGCAGGATGAGGATCCATTTTTACGTGAGAGGGGAACCTGAGATGTAATTCTGGAGCAAAAAAATTTTTTTTCTTAAGATCTGACATGGAATTGCTTTAGAAAAAGCTTTTTTTTTTTTTTTTTTTAATGCCCTTTTTCTACCTAACTGCAGTGATTCCTGATAGGCAGTAAGTCACCATGTATTTTGTGTTTGTCTTTTTGTGTTTCGTTTTCCTTTGCTAGTACACAGAAATCTAAAATCCAAACTGTAATGGTAATCACAAATTATATGTAATAAAACATGCCACATATTGTCTCCTAACAATGATGTCAGGCTCTCTGTCTCTAAAATATTCAGACTGCCTATATTTCTGACTATGTCTTTATTTTTCCTTCATTTCTCCTTAAAAAACCTCTTTATTTCCATGACTACAACAGTTTAACAAGCAAAATCTATTCCATACTTAGACTGTGCAAGTCTATGGGGAAAAAAGTAAATAAGGTT